TTTTTAGTAGAGACAAGGGTTTCACCATGTTGGCCAGGCTGGTCTTGAACTCTTGACCTCAAGTGATCTGCCCGCCTTGGCCTCCCAAAATGCTGGGATTACAGGCATGAGCCACCATACCTGGTCTCTGAATTTTTCTTTCAAGTTTGAGTATTATGATTCTTACATTAGACATGCTACTTGTCAAATAAAAAATACATGTACTTACAAGTATACACCACAGTTTCTGGCATTGTAGCTCAAGAATAAGAATAGAAGTGTGATAGCTGATATTTGAATACCCACTACATTGTTAGGGACTGTGATAAGCACATAGATCCCTAAGTATTTAATCCCACAACTCTCAGAGGATGCAGTTATTTACTGCCCTCCTAAGTCGGTGCCGCCTCCACACATACATGGCTCACTAATTTCTCCTGTCATAAATTGATAATTTCAATGTCCTCCAATTAACCCAACACTTGGCACTTCAGTTCCTAGACTTCCTCTGATTGAGTGTTCTCATCCTTCACTTCGGCATTAGCCATTTGGCTCCCATGATCATATTCTAGCCTCTTGTTATCTCTATAGAAATGCCTCTTGCAGTTCTTTGCCCATTTTTGAATCAGGTTGGTTTTTGTTGAGTTTTAGGAGTTCTCTATATATTCTGGATATTAATCCTTTATTAGATATGTGATTTCCAAGTATTTTATGTTGAGTTGCCTTTTTACTGTTGATAATGTCCTTTGATGCACAAGTTTTTAAGTCCATTTTGTCTATTTTGTTGTTGTTGTTCCCTGCTCCTTTGGTTTTATAACCAAGAAATCACTGCCAAACCCAATGCCATGAGGCTTTCCTTTTTTTTTTTCCTTTAGAGACAGGGTCTCACTCTGTGGCCTAAGCTGGAGCACAGTGACATGATCATGGCTCACTGCAGCCTTGAACTCCTAGGCTCAAGTGATCCTCCCACCTCAGCCTCCTGCGTAGCTGGGACTACAGGTGTATGCCATTAAAAAAATTTTTTTATAGAGATGGGATCTCACTATGCTGCCCAGTCTGGTCTTGAACTCTTAGGTTCAAGCAATCCTCTCATCTTGGCCTCCCAAAGTGCTGGGATTACAGGTATGAGCCACCACATGCTCCTCTTTAGTTTTATAGTTTTAGTTCTGATGCTTAGGTCTTTGATCCACTTTGAGTTTTGTATATAGTATTAGGTAAGGGTCCAACTTCATTCTTTTTGTATGTGGCTATCTAGTTTACCCAGAACCATTTGTTGATAAAACCATCCTTTCCCCCATGGAATGGTCTTGGCACCCCTGTTGTGTATCATTTGACCACACATGCAAAAGTTTATTTCTGGGATCTGTATTCTGTTCCTTTGGTCTATATGTCTGTCTTTATGCCAGTACTGCACTGTTTTGATTAGTGTAGTTTTGTAATAACCTGAAATAAAAAAATGTGAGTCCTAAAGCTTTATTCTTAAGATTGTTTTGGATATTTGGAAGTCCCTTGAGGTTCCATATGAATTTTAGGAATTTTAGGCTATATTTTCTATTTCTGTAGGGGGAAAAGGCCATTTGGATTTTTACAGGGATTGCATTGAATTTGTAGGTCACTTTGGATAGTATCAAAATTTTAACATTAAGTCTTCTAATCCATGAACATGGGATATTGTTCCATTTGTTTTCTTTCATCTCTTTCAGCAATGTTTTGTGGTTTTCATTATACAAGTCTTTTGCCTCAATGATTAATTCCTAAGTACTTTATTTTTTTGATGCTATTTTAAATGGAATTTTATATTTCTTTTCAATTGTTCATTGTTAGTGTATAAACACACAACTGATTTTTGTGTTGATTTTGTATCATGCTATTTTGCTGAACTTGATTACCTCTGTCAATTTTATTGATATTTTGTCCTTTTCGATGTGAATGCCTTTTTTTCTTTTTTGCCTAATTGCTTGAATTTCTAGTACCTCATTGAATAAAAGTGGCCAAAACCTGCATTCTGATCTTGTTCCTGATCTTGGAGGAAAGCTTTCAGTCTGTCACCATTGAGTATGATGTCAGCGGTGCATGTTTCGTATATGGCTTTTACTATGTTCTGGTAGTTTCCTACTGTTGCTAATTTTTAAGTTTTTATCATGAAAGAGTTTTGAATTTTGTCATTTTTTTTTCCCTATATGTGTTTTTTCCCTTTATTCTGTTTATGTGTTACATTGATTGATTTTCACATGTTGAACAATCAATCCTTGTATCCTAGGAATAAATCCCACTTGGTCATGTTGTAAAATCCTTTTGATGTGCTGCTGAATTTGGATTGTAGTATTTTGTTGATTTTTGCATCTGGATTCATGAAGGATATTGATCTGTACTTTTCTTGTAGTGTCTGTCTGGCTTTGGTATTGGCAATACTGGCCTCACAGAATGAGTTATGAAGTGTTCCTTTATTTTCAGTTTTTGGAAGGGACAGTTTGAGAAGGCATAGTGTTAGTTCTTTAAATGTTTGATAGAATGCACCAGTAAAGATATCAGGTCCAGGGCTTTTATCAAGAGGTTTTTGATTACTGATGCAACCTCCTTACGATGGGTGTATTTTCTGTTTCTTCATCATTTGTTCTTGGTAAGTTTGTGTTTCTAGTAATTTGAATGTTTTTAAAATTAGTCTATCTAGCTAAAAGTTTGTCAATTTTGTTAATCTATTTTTCAAAACGTTTTGGCTTCATTGATTTTCTCTATTTTTTTTCTGTTCTGTATTTTATTTATTTCTGCTATAATCTTTATTTTTCTTTCTTTCCTTCTGCTAGTTTAGGGTTTTGTTTGTTCTTCTTTTTCTAGTTCCTTAAGTTGTCAAGTGAGGTTGTTGACTTGAGATCTTTCGTCTTTTTTTAGTGTAAACATTTATGGCTATGAATTTCCCCCTTGGCATTGCCTTTGGTATGTCCCATACATTTTTGTATGTTTACTTTTATTTGTCTCTATTTTATAGTTTCCATTGTGATTTCTTCTTTGATGGATTAGTCGTTTAAGAGTGTTTAATTTCCACAAATTTTTGAGTTTTTCCTGTTTTCCTTCTGTTATTGCTTATTTTATCCTTTGGGGTCAGAGAAGGTACTTTATATGACAGTTATCTTTTAAATCTGTTGAGAATTTGTGGCCTAACATATGGACCGACCTGAAAAATGTTCCACGTGCACTTCAGAAGAATGTGCACACTGCTGCTGTTGGGTCAAGTGTGCTATATATATGCACATTAAATCTAGTTGGTTTACTGTGTATTCAAGTCCTCCTTTTCCTCACTTATCTTCTTCTAGTTGTCCTATCCATTAATGAGCATAGGATATTGAATTCCTCAACTATTTTTGTAGAACTGTCCATTTCTCCCTTCAATTCTGTTAATTTTTGCTTCATAGATCTTGATGGTTTGTTATGTATCTTTAGCATTCCTTGAATCTACTGGGACAACTGCTACTTTTTACTTTCACACCTTTCATTTCTTTATTTCCCTTTTTACAGCCTAGATTCTAAAGTCCATTATTAAAATCACTTCCTGGCACATGTCTTCAACTACCATTCTCTCCCCTAAATCCCATTCTCCTGGCAAAATATCAGTCTTGATTTATCTCTCTGCTTCAAGCAGCTGGTTATGACTGGATAAATAAACAATTGCACTCAACCAGTTTTACTTCCAGTGACTGTGAACCTCAGGTGGGTTCT